AGTAAACTTTTAATGAACGGTTTCCCTACTGTCCAATTGAAAACAATTATAAATTTCGCATCAAAATTCACCGCTAAAAATTGGATTAACTTTGAAGTTGATTTTATCGCGAACTGCTGACTCCAAATCAGTTTCATACAAATCATAGATAGATAGATAGATTCATTTATTGACTACGTTTCGTACAAAATGGATGTACAATTGTAGCAAGTCAGAAGTGATCTTCAAGTGCAATAAAATCAAATTAATAAATAACATAAAAACACACATCTAATACAAACAAAATTAGACAGTACTAGACAGTTTTATAGCGCATCGATACCAGTGACAGTGTCAATGTATGCTCGCAGGGAGTAAAAACAATGACGTTGTAGGAATTCTTTAATAGTATGTTTAAATTTTCTATTGCTCATCTTTTTCACGGTACCTGGCAAAACATTATACAATTTCAGGTTCAATGAGTTGTTCTCAGACTTCCTCAGTTTAAACCTAGGCCGTCTAAGGAGATCCCCCGAACGAGTTTAATAGGCATGGCAATCGGAATTAGCGCTAAAGTTTCCTTTCGTTCTCTGAATCTCTAATAACTGGTGGTAGATATAGATGCAAGGAAGGGGCACCACTTTGAATTTTTTAAAATAAGGTTGACAATGGTCCCTATATCCTATATTAGCAACGACTCGAATGGCCCTTTTATGCATTCTAAAAATCTCCACAGCAGCTGAGGAATCACCCCACAGTACCGTGCCATAGCATAAGTGTGAATGCAACAAAGAAAAATAGACCATAAGCAGAGTCCTTGTTCCTATCAGGCCTCTCAGTCGTCGAAGAACGAATATGTTGCTGGACAATTTATTTTTCAGGTCTGAGATATGTTGTTTCCGATTTAGACTATCATCGATCCTAATGCCAAGCAACTTGACGGACTGTACACTATTTACCAAGCAATTAGAGGAAAACACAATACTCTGGGTCTTGTCTAAATTTAATTTAAGATAATTATTTTCGAACCAGACATTAGCCCTGTCCTCCAACATGCCAACCCTAACGGACAACTCCTCGATACTCTTAGCAGATGTAGTGAAGGATAAAGGTCATTTATGTAGATTGTAAATAGTAGCGGGCCCAGGACGGAACCCTGGGGCACCCCGCTTGCTACTGATTCAAGTGATGAACGGTCATCCTGGTATTCTACAAACTGCTGTCGGCCCTGCAAGTAGGACGCTATAAGATCTAAGGGCAGACCTCGTATACCATATCTGTATAGCTTTTTAATAAGAAGCTGGTGAGAAACACAGTCGAAGGCCCTGGAGAGATCATTCAAGGTCAAACCAACTAATTCACCTCCCTCGACGCCCTCAACTATCCCACTCACAACTTTAGACACTGCTTGGATCGTCGAACACCCTCCCCTAAATCCAAACTGACCAGCACAAAGACACTCGATCTTATTAATATAAGAAGTTAGCTGATCTTTTAGTAAGATCTCAAAAACTTTTCCGAACAAAGGCACGATTGAAATCAGCCTATAGTTGTTAGCATCATTTATATCACCTGCCTTATGGATTGGAACTACTCTCGAAATTATAAACAGCGACGGAAATACACCTGTGTCAATACATTTATTAAATAAAGTGGCTAATGGCAGTGTAATGTACTCAACCAGTCCCTTCACCAAGACACTATTGATATTATAAGCATCGCTAGAATAAGATTTTTTTAATCTTAGTATGGCTCGGTACGTATCCTCACAAGTTATCGGATGCAAAAAAAAAGTAGTTTCCTCCAGTAGAATCCCTTCAACACATGCACTCTGTACATTGTGATTCACCGTTAAGATCTTTATAATATTACTCGAGACAGAACTTAAAAAAACTGTTAAGATCGTTTGTTGATAAATCAGATTCTTTATCACATCTCCCAAGACAATTTCTTTCATAGTTAACGATTTTCCAGACATCTTTGTTTTTATTGGTTGATTTTTCGATAAAGCCATCAAAAGCAGCATTTTTGGTTTGTTGAATTTTTTGTTTATATTCCTTATTTAGTGATTTATACACCTCTGTATAAAGAGGGTTCTGTGAGACTTTACTGAGAGTTTTAACAGCTGACATTCTGTTTCTAAGAGCTACTAGATCTTTATCAAACCAGTTGACCGGTGATTTTTTATGAGGAATGTTGTTAACAGAACAATTTTGTTTGATCAAGTCTTGAACTTTGTGCAATATAAATGAAGACATAAAGTTGACATCGTTAGAACCAAGGCAAATATTCCAATCCACAGCCTCCAAGGACTTCCTAATTCCTAATTCATATGGGGATTCTTGTCAGCGCTGAGGTGTAAATGCAATGCATAGCCCTATCTTTTCTCAGCATCTTGCTTTTTTATTCACGTTTTTATCTCAATTATTAAATAATAGTATAGTATGCAACAAGTACGGTAAACGGCATTTGACTCTTTATAAACTTAATAAACGAGTGACTTATAAAGTTTACCGTACATATTGCATACTATACTTTTTCTACGACCGTTAATTTTTTGTACATTCTCGCAAAACAACACGAATACATTCACTAACATGACCGTCAGAATTGACAAACGTCAAAATTCAAGGCGTGGGAAATATCTCCGAAAACATCCGATTGCTCCCGAACACGAGCGGAAAAATTCCGCAAATATCCGAAATGGCTCCGATCCGTTTGAAACGAAACTGATGTGGTAGGTATTTTACAGAAAGGAGTTGAAAAAATAAATTTAATATCAATCGAATAAGTCTGCCATATTACAAGAGGAGTTTTATAATAAAGTGAAATATTGAGACCTTGGACTTGGCTCCACGTTATCTAGACCACATGCCAATAGAAGATCTATGGGACCAAACTGTTTGGATGATGTAGAAAACATTTCATGGACATATACGTATGTAATTTCTATAATTCAAATTTTTGTAATTTCTGTAATTCCATATTTGTTTGTACTGCATTAAGTTGACCCAAATTTTGCGTTAATTTTGGTGCGAAGTTTAACACGAAGGCTAAAAAACGTCTTGTAGAAAAAAAGGTACAGTTCCGGATTTGAAGGATATTTTTTGGTATTCTTTAGTTTCTTCTGTCGATCTCAAATTTGGCGATAAATCTGTCCACGTATCGCTGCTGTACAACCCTTCACATTTGGAAGCGGTCAATCCCGTGTCGATGGGCAAAACGCGCGCCAAAAATCTGATCAGTAGGTACGGCGATTATGGGAATTTAAACGAATTTGGAGACAAGATATTAAATATCCAGGTAAAATATACACTCACAAATGTCCGTCCACCCTTCATTCCTTCGTTGCCTTTGTTGAAAAACTTGTAGGTTGCATCATTTTTAAACCGTTTTTTCTTTGCAATAAATTTGAAAATTATAACAAAATTATAACAAGTTACGTAAGGCGGCTAAAATGACTATCTTTAAAATGTTAATCTACAATAGCAGAACATGTTGTTTGTTAATAGGTTATGAAATTTTTAAATTTTTTATTTGAAACGTGATGGTGATGATGATGTATTAATATAAAAAAAACTGTTTCGAGAGTCAGTATGTGCGCAATGGATGGTGGATTTATTTTGTAGGTATTTTTAAGGCGTACGATTTTCTTGAAACATTCGTTGTGTGATAATTTTGTTTATTGTATGGTCCTTTAAATATGAAATTCATTCTTTATAAACAGGGAACTGAAATATTTATATAGAAGTTTTTTTTATTACAATTCAAAAGGATTCAAAATTATCGCACTTCAGTTTATTCTGTTCTCTATCTTGAAGAGACCAGATTTTCACAAAACTCCGACATTTTTATATATATCGATAGCCAAAGAAAAATGACACAATACATTGTTTGGACGGTAACGGTGTTTTAATGGTCACAAAACTACGAAGTATGTGTGGTTAGACGGGTACCGGTTTACAATACAGGATAATTCAAATTTCTGGATTATAGAAACTAAAAACCATAAAAAGTTACAGGGTGTTAAAGTATCAATATAATTTTTGATTTTTTTATTTAACTTTAAAACTTATATATTTCGGTTTCAACAACATTTACAACAAAAATAATCTTTTATAATATGTCTGGGAAATATACTGCAATTATGAAGTAAGTCTTGTTTTATTTAATTATAAGGTAAAATCGATAACTACGGTTGTTACTAATGCGTATTCTATTTAATTTAGTTTATAACAATTACAAAAATACTCTGGAAAAAAGACAATCGGTTCAAAATGAGGTGCGATAATTTGGCATACTTTTGAATTGGAATAAAATAAACCTCTATATAAATATTTTGGTGCACCCTTTATAATAAATGAACTTCACATTTAAAAGACCATACAATAAGCAAAATACTTAAATAACAGTTTGGACAAAAAAGTAAAGTTGTTTATTATTAAAATTCCCGTTTATACAACTTTGAGCACCGATATCTTGATATCATCGAATTTAGACATTTGTTGAGAATGTCAAGGACTACAACATGGTACATTTTGCGTGAGGGATCCCTTCAAAGGAATTGGGGTACATTTGCCTTTGTGTACTTTTTGCAAACATTCTCATTTTCCATTTTCCGTAAAAACGGGTTCCCCTAAATCGGATTTAATTTTAGGTTCACGGCGACGCAGCTATTATCGGGCAAGGAGTAAACCAAGAGTGTCTCACACTAAGCGGAGCTCCTAACTTTAACATCGGCGGCACTGTACATTTGGTGGTTAACAACCAGGTCGGCTACACAACCCCCGGGGATAGGGGTAGGTCATCCAGGTATTGTACGGACTTGGCGAAAGTTATTGCCGCCCCCGTCATACACGTCAATGGAAATTATCCCGAGGTATAGCATTTGCGTATAGGGATTAATAAATTTGGTACATAACATAAAGTTGACAATCGAATAACTGTGGTCATAAATGAAATTAATGCTGAATATTTTGTCACATTCTGTAGGAATTCTCTTCAGGTGTCTGTCTAAGTCAATGCATTGCCTTATTTTTTTTGAGCATCATGTGGTTTTCTTCAAGTATTCATCTCAATTATTAACTGATTAAATATATTTTTCTTTTATTTACATGCTGCACAAATAGCACAAAAATTTTATGGAAATTTTAGGACTTTTATAACATTTGGTGTTAATACCATTGCACGATTGTTTAAGAATGACACATGCCTAATTGAGCGAAACGAATTTCCCATTTTATTTCTCTGCTCTTTTTTATATGAGCCTATAACTGAAATATTAAATAAAAATGTTTTTGAAATGTCCAATTCGGAATCCAGGAAGTTTACAAAATAACGAAATTGGCGTTTGACTATCAAAGACGCTATAAAAAGGACATCTTCGTCGATATGAACTGTTACAGACGGTGGGGTCACAACGAAATGGATGATCCCACCTTTACCAACCCGGCCCTGTACAAGGTCATCAATGCCATGCGGTGCCGTAAACTCAGCACATCCGGTGTTTTATTTTAACTAATGTAAACTATGTGCAGGACCGTACCGGATTCGTATGCGGCCAAAATTATCGAGGAAGGTGTGTTGAGCGAGCAACAATGCCAAGAAATTTACGAAGAACGTTTCGAATGGTTAAACGAGGAGTTGCAGGCCATCGAGGATTATCAACCAGAGGTGAGTTCCAAACGCTTATGGAAGAATGCAATTCTATATAACAAAACGAGCTATGATTGGATGAAAAAAAAATTCACTTGGTGATGTTTCGTACGGGATGGCCCATTTATTAGAAGATGAAAAAAAGAAAAAAAAAGTGGTTTGGATTCCCTTATAATTTTAAAAATATTATATTGCTATGTATAGAGGGTGTTGATAAGTAACAAATTACAACTTTCATATTTTAAATAATAATAAGTAAAACTATAGTAACAGTAACCCTGTACTTTTTGAATTTCTCTAAACTTTGTGGACACATTTCATATATGCTAACGTATACATTTAAAAGTGAGGTGTGCAGGCTTAAAAATATCTATCGATTTTTCGCTCTGAAAGATTTTATTATATATTCGGGATTGATTTCTATAGATTATATTTAAAAATTACGGGGAGTCAAAAATCAAATATTATGATTTTGAAATAGTTAAAATACATTTTTTTAAAATGGAAACACGTCATTTTTATAATTTTATTAATTTGTTTTTTTTTACTGTTAGCAGTATAATCACAACAATTAAAATTGAAAAGTTAGGTGGCATAAAATTGTCAAACATTCATTGCCAAACTTAGAAAAAACCAAAATAGTGATAGTGATGTTTGTGTAAAACAGGATTGTTTTTTTTTCGCCATATTTCGTCGTCACGATATTTTTACAATGTATTCTAATATTTTGGAATATCCAACTTTTTAAATTATAAAAATTGGTTGTTTCCATTTGAAAAAAAAAGCCTTTTGACTATTTTTTCAATTTTTAATGTTAGTTTTTAATCACTTTGTTTTTATCTATTTGTAAAATATCAACACAGAGCACTATCCTAATATACAGGGAATCCAAACAAATTCTCGGCTTTAAGTTGTTTTGATATTGTTTGCATGTGCCACCCTATGCAAGGATAAAAAGTGAAAGTTTGTTTTTACAGTTACATAAATGGTGTAACGTATTAAGTGTTTGAAAGTGTAACTGTTAATTAAATAGTCCATTTAAAAATGGAAATAGATTTTTTTACTGTATAAAAGCAAAAAAAATATACTTATTTTGAATGTCCAAATTTAACCAATTGCGAATCATGATTTCTAACTTCTTTTTTTGTAATAGTAACGGTTACATTTACACTACCTATTTTATAAAACCTATCGTTACTTTTTAAAACCCCTATAGCACGTAAATCTCATCACAATAACGGTGGCCAACTTTTAGTCTCATATAAAACTTTTTCTACCATAGGTAAGTTTTATAATGGCAAGGACTACATATTTTTTCTGCAATGAAAGTTACTTACCAAACAAAAAATGCCGAACAAACAACCCTTTTCATTTCACCTTCATTTGTTTGCAATAATTTTATTTCATGCCCATGTCATTATATTTTGATGTTACTCTAAAATTGACAGCATGTATGAAAATGTCTTAATAAAAATTGTAATATATAATAATTTTATATTTTACCATTCCCAAAACTGAAACGCCCTCATTTTAAGCACCTTAAAAGGTAATTTTGGTAAAAACCTGCAAGTTAAAATTGTGTCTATTATTTTTTATTTATTTTTATATGTTTTAGGAATACCCTTGCTTTTTTAAGAGAGCATTTATGTCAATTCGAAAAACATAACAATGACCGTCACATAAAATCAAATCATGTACACCAGTTTCCTTTATAAAACTTACAATTGTATGTGGGCTTTCAAGTAATATTAAACAATTTGGAAACGTTTACAAAACTTATAACAATATTTCTCTTGCAATAAAACCTAAGATTATTTTAGAATTACTCAGAGCTACTAAAAAGGTATTTATAAAACTCTTTGTAACTGGCACAAAACTAAAAGTAATCGGAAAACAAATTGAAAACTATTAGTGCGCATATGTCAAATATCAATTTTGAAATCATTACATCATAGTTATTATTCATTTTCTCTTTATAGAAATGTCCTTCGTTTTTTATAAATATCTGGATAAAGTTTATAATTAAACTACAATTGTGCAAATAACGACAAATTTCGAAAAACAGCGTCTTTGATTGTGCTACAAGCGCATGGTTTCATGGTAGCTGTAGAAGATTTATTAGGTGCTTTAAATTAATAAGGGTCGTACGAAGTAAGCTATATAACCTGAAGATTATAAGTGTTAAGATAGCTTCTCTAAGAATATTAAAGAACCTTTAAAAAAAACGTGAAGTAAGCAACACCAGATAAAGTGACGGAATCCTTTCCTATAAGCAACCAACCAATATTATAAAACTTGTGTGTCCTGATATTTATAGGACGTCTTACAAAATTTATAACTGTACTGATTTTCTTAACTATAAAGGCTTATACATATCCGATGCGTTATAATAAAAGCTTAAACTGCGAAAAATATTAGTTGGGTTGTATGTTGTCGACACTTTACACATCATTAAAGAACATCCTGTATACGTTGTAGCGTGCAAGTTAAGAAAGTAAAATTGACATTCATTCACTGTTGACATTTTGTGCAGGACGTGTACTTTCAACACCAATGGGCCGGCATCAGCCAGCCGGAAAACGCGATAACCACCTGGGACACGGGCGTCGACACAGAACTGCTGGCGTTCGTAGGAGAAAAATCAGTAGCGGTACCTGAAGACTTTGTATGCGTTCGTTAGAACTCTTGTTGAAATATTGTAACTATTCACATTTTAGACAGTTCACCCCACCCTAACTAGACACGTCAAAAATAGACTGTCGAGAGTAGCGGAAGGGATGAACATCGATTGGTCCACGTCGGAAGCGCTGGCAATCGGCTGTCTACTCTTCGAAGGTTAGTTAATAATGCAACAGTGTGTTTTACAATATCGTGTCAAAAAAAATACAATTATCAATTAACAGGTACACTCAAAAACAATACTATAGATATTTCTGGTGCTAGTGTGAGTAGCCCAAAAATAAAATCGTTCAGGTTTTTCAAATGCGACCGTGAAATTAGATAAGTTACACAGCGTAAATCCGAAAGTGAACCCAAAAAAAATTTCGTTTGAAATATATTACCAAGGGCAAAAAGTATTCAGGGATCTATAGTCGATAGAATATTGGACGTATTGCGAAACCGGGAAATGGAAATTTGTTGAAAATTTTGTCAGTTAAGGTATTTTGACGGTGTTCTATCGATATAAGATATTTTCAGCTTCGCCGTGTTGGCCCTTCTATAAAAAAGTAGCCACAACTCTATTTTTTTAAATAAAACAAGCTATATAAATTTTCCGTTCCGCTGCTATTTCTATATTTTTCGACTGAAATAGACCACAATTTATATTCTTCACTGCTTAGAACACTGAAATTATGGCAGCAGTTTGGTAACATCCTGCAGTTTCCTGTAGACTAGTGCTTGCTATGATTTACAGGGTGCTTAAGAAATCAATGAAAAAGTTACACTTTTCAAATGTAGAATATCCAGTACTCTAATACATAATTAAAATCATTTTCCTATACCTAAATCTAAGGTTTTCAAATAAAAAGCAATTAAGTTCAAATTTATTTTTTTTATTTCACCTAACTATATGAAAATGTTTGAGTTTTAATAACGTATTTACTTTTATTCACTCATGTACTTTCTAGGATTAAAATTAACTCTTCATATAGTTCCCTTGTCCCTGTCACACATAATGCTATAGAGAAATTATTGATACCAGAAATATCACAACCTTTGTGCTAGTTAGTAAATAGTTCCATGAAGCAAGCTGTCTTTCCAGAGCAGTTCAAATTAGCTCTAAATAAAAAAGACCAATTAATCTTTTGGCCAGTTTCTCTAAGCCGTTTGTAACTTTGTTCCAGAATAATTGGATTTATCAACATATGTCAATTGTTTTCTAACTTTGTGCCTGCTTAAAAATATAGATCAACTAGCAAGACTAGAAAGCAGCATGTCATTGCCCAAAAAATAGCAAAAGTTATGAAACTGGAAATTTGCAGAGAATAATCTCATTCATTTTTTAATTAAGAGAAGAGAAGAGGTAAAAAATGAAACCGAAAATGCATTTGAGGAAATAAAATTGGTAAAAGAAACTAATAGTGACTAGTAGTAAAACAACAAACATGATATTATAGCCAACAAAACAAGGTCAACGCATACTGATTACATAGAACTAAATAAAACAAGATTGCTTTCGAAAAATCATTGCTGGGCGGGGCAAGTTCGTCGCAAGTAGCGCCAATCAGCTTTTTATTTTAAAAAGAAGGCGCTTTACTTATTCTTGTGACGCATTGTTTTTCTATCGTGCTCCTGCGGACCACTACGGAACTTTTGCAATATCGATGTTTTAATATTGTGAATACACCCTGTATAACGTGTCCTTGAAATCTCGTCGAACTTCAAAGTTACGCCAAAAGTGAGTAAATATTAAAATTTGTTATGGTAATTGCAATTTAAAATTATATTTTTTCAAATATCTCACGCACCGTGTACTATAGACGAAACCTTAAACTCTTTCTAGACACGGTTTACCTATTCACCTACAAAAGCGGAGATTTCTAGGATCTATTAGAATTTTTTGCCCACAAACGACGTATCCTGTATATAATTCCAACAATGTTCGAAATAGAGGATTTAGCCCTGGATCTCCTTTGTTTCCTGATATCCGAATTTTCCCAATCGAGTAAATGGTTTTCAAAGAAATACTTGTTTTCTAAAACCATGCGATAAGTGGTAATATGAAATGACTTCATCACATCTAGATTGAGGGCGAGAAATGGTGATTTTTGTTTGGATTTTTTCAAATATCTCGAAGAGCGTATGTGATAGACGAAAACCGTAAATACACAAATTGTAGCCCTGTTTGAACTGATTAGCTATTGTTTGTACGAATTTTGATTTACGGTTAATAATTTACTCTCTAAAAGAACAATTTTCGGGGTCTTTTAGATTTTTGTCCATAACTAAAACACCTTGTATATAATAAAAAAAATGCGTGAAACAAAAGCTATAGCGCCGGGTCTCCCACGTATTACGGATGTAAAATTTTTCCGATCGGATGAATGGCTTTGGAGGAAAATATGCCAAAATAACCACAAAAAAAATTCAAAAATTAATTTAAAATACTTCGCGCAATTTTATTGCTCCCAATTTAAAGAGTCTAAATGCGGGTCCAGACTTCTACTTCTCTCCCAAGTCTGAAGTCGATAGTTGCAGATTTGGAATACTTATTATGTTTCTTAATATTGCACGGAATATCGTGAACACCCTGTAAAATACTTAAAAACCTTAAATACAAAAGTCTAAGCTGTCTTTATGGGCTATATCTTCATGTATAAGAAAGTAACATCTAAAACACAGATTTGAAATTATTGCCAATTTTCAATAACAGGGAGGACCCATTTTTCATTTTTTTTAATTTGCGGCGCACCCTGTCTATTTTTGAAAAATTGTCAAGAATAAAAGTTTGTCGAGTTATTTCCTCTGCGTCTTCTGGTTCAAGAATTTTTTTGGTCTCTTAAACAGTTTTTGAAAAATGGTCTTTTTTGTAGACCCTTGCACACGCGATTTTTAATTTTTTTAAAATACTTCCCGACCACACCAGCCCCCCCATTTTCAATAGGCTCCGTCAGGGGGCAAATCTACATATATGTGCCAAATATGAAGTCGCTTCAAATTTGGGACACTTATCGTGTTCCATAACAAGGTCCAAAAAAGTCGAAAATCGCGAAAAAAAGATGGATACCGGCGTCGGATCAGGGCCATTTCTTATAAGCTTATGTGCCTCATGGAGGGTTAAAAGGGAGACAAATTTCAATTTTGTAACTCCAATGGTTCGAAATTTATTGAGGAAAAACCAAAAGACGAGCACGGAGAACGGACAGACAAAAAAAAATTTTCGATCGCGTAGGACTTACCGTTACCGAGATATAACATTTTTATACGGGCGCAGATACTTTCGAAAATTCGATTTCATCGATTTTCGAAAGCAACAAGTGCTGAATTTATAGCAAGTACAAATTTCTTGGGAATTCACATTATTGAATATCTCGACTGGGACCCTCATATTCAAACTGTATGTACAAAATTAAACACAGTAAGTATTGTCTATTTTGCTAATTTTGAATATGTTGTACGATATAGCATAATATTTTGGGGTAGTAGATTTAATTATACAAAAGGGGACCATGAGATCAATGAAATAAGTAAAGAATAAGAACTCTTGTGCAAGTATGCAATATATATTAATCACAAAATTCCGATAACTGAATTTTTAAGAACGCTGCCAAGGAAACGTCAGTGAGACTTGAAGAATATTTTGGTCAATTATATTAACTAATCCTTGACGTCGACTTTATTTCATTTGTACTTTATTTTTTGTATAGGCGAATAGAATCTCAATAAACAAATTAACGGTTAAATTCAAAATGTCAAATAAAGTCAAATTTAGAGCACACTATTCTGTAGGTTACAACGTGCGGATCAGCGGTCAAGACGTGGGTAGAGGAACGTTTTCTCAAAGACACGCCATGTTGGTCGACCAAAACACCAATCAGATGTTCATTCCCCTCAATTCGTTGTATCCGGAACAAACCGCGAATTTGGAAGTGGCCAACAGTATTTTGTCCGAAGAGGCAGTGTTGGGGTACGAATACGGAATGAGCATCGAGAGTCCCAAAAATTTGATAGTGTGGGAGGCACAATTTGGAGATTTCTTTAACGGCGCCCAAATTATTTTCGACACGTTTGTTACGTGCGGAGAAGGTAACTGGTTAAATCTGCCTTTTGTTTTAATGCATTCATAGAGTAATTTCCCGCTTTCTTTGAATTAATTTTGAATAATTGCAAGCTTTCAAAATTCGGAAGACGTACATTCAATTTATCAGTTAACCTTTTTGAGGATCATATTCAACGATTGATTTAATTAGACACAGCGTTATTGCAAAATGTTGCATTTTTTGACAGTTCGGTTTGGTTCCCTTAAAAGTTATCTTCTGGAAAAGGTGAAACTTGGTCTGGCCATGGAATCGAAAGACGTAGTCAGTTTTCTTATAAAACTCACAAATATTGTTATACAAACTAAACTTACGTTTTTTTATGGAATACCCTCGGTTAATAATTTATTTATGCTCGTTATAAGCTTTTCAAAATTAACTTCAAAATATAAATCTTAACTTTTGTTATTCCTCTTCCTTCTACTATGGTCTCATGTAAACTCAAATATAACAATTATGAGAAATTAATTATTTAATTTATTAAAAAAAATCTGTATTTTCCATGGCCTACTCATCAAAAATAATGAAGTTAAAGATATATGCTTTGTATCTGAAATTGTTCTTGTGTGTTATATTTTATATTTTTGAATAGCTTTATTAATAAGGGGATACGTCGTAAAACCATAGGACACCCTGTTTATACGGTTTATAATAATGTGTAATTATAATAGTATGCAATTTATTACGGAAGCGTTATATTCTTCCCCAATCCCAAGATGTGTAAATTCACTATAGCTTTCTTTATCATGTTTTCTTCAAATCCAATATCGTTGCGGCTACATGCCAGTCAATATATCTTGTTTTCTACCAAATGAAGTTGGTCTTGTGTTATGCGTCGTGAATGAAGACAGTATTCATAATCAGTACTGAGTCACTCACCATTTCGCTAAATTAATCTTCGAAAACATTGGTATTCATATCCTCGTGAAATTCTTCCTCCGTTCGAGATCATTCAGATAACAATACCGTCTATTTTAATTTTGTTCTTTCTTCCCGTTAGTTCTTTTATACCCTGTCGACCAGCCTTCCGTGAAACCATAAAAATAGAGAAAACTGAACTTTTCCCCAAATCGCATATTACAAAGCTCTATTGCTAGCCTTCCTGGTTTTTATTTAGGAGATTTTACTTGACCTGCTGCTTTCCTTTCTCGAAACTACAATTAGTAGGTCTGAGGTGTGCGTTTAGCACATACTAAAATTCTTAATAAGCCATTAGGAGGAAGTGTATTAGCTACCTGAAATATTGCCGTATATGGTTTCAAGGATTGATTCGCTATTTGCCCCCATGGACGAACATTAAATTGGCTCGTAGCGAACTTGCACCACTTATAAACAAACCACTTCTACTCCGTTCTCTAAAATACCCAATGGTACACTTATCGAGGGTGCGGAAAGTGTAATTTTACGTCACTTTCGTTACCTACGGCTGCGAGCCGCTTCGGATATTTCCGAGATATTACCCATAAGTTTCGGACCGAACGGATGTTTACCCATTACTAGAATTTGGCTTGAATTTTGATGGTTATCAATTTTGACAGGCATGTCACTTTGTGAATGTATTCCTCATGTTTTGCAAAAATGTACGCAATAACTCACGGTAGTAGAAAAAGTAGAATATGCAACATATTTGGTAATATTTTTAAGTCACTCGTTTATAAAGCACGCGCTCCCCTCGTGACAAATAAACACGTAGCTCAAATTTATTTGCATAATATGGTATTAACAAATGCCGGCCAACATGGAACATATTGAACTACCGTATTTGATTTAATTTTGTTTTTCCATTAGCAAAGTGGTTGTGGCAAAGCGCCTTGACCGTTCTCCTACCACACGGATACGACGGAGCAGGACCGGAACACAGTTCGGCACGGATCGAACGTTTCCTGCAGCTGACCGACTCCAAAGACGACGCTGTCGACGGAGACGACGTGAATCTACAGGTTTGCCACCCTAGTACACCTGCTCAATATTTCCACTTACTGCGACGACAGGTAAGGGCCGACGAATCTGATAGTGAATTCCTATCCAAATAAAAACAGAATGTCTAATCTCATTCGATCTGGCATATGCTGTTGTACTGTGGAGAAAGTCAGCACATTAAATTTAAAAAAATTGTACGCAGAAAAGGGCGATCAGAATTATATGCAACGCGGGATATAGAGACCATTTCAGAAACTTAGGATTCCATGGCTATTAGTATATCACAAAATTTTAGAAATTCATTCACTCAGATAATCACCCACTTCCTCCTCAAATTTGCTTCAATCTATTAAGTTTAAATACACTAAAAGACATTTGATAAAGATACGGTGTTGTCGCAACAATTGTCATATGAAAATATATAATTTCGTGAAAATCTGAACTTTTAGTTCTTATTTATTTTACACTAAAGGAGTTAAAAAATTGATCTGATTGACTTAATAAAACTAACTTAATTTTAAATCAAGTTACAAATTTGCCATTTTAAAACTTTCTTTCTTTTCTTTGAAGCATTCTTTCTTGTCTAAGTTTCTCTAAAGGTTCATTCTGGCCAATACCGGGCATTTCGAACTTCCATTGTCGAAAAACGTTTTTAACACGACGCTTCGGCTAGAAAGTATGACTAGGCGTGAAAAGTGAAAACTGAGCACTATGATCGAAGCATTTATATGGTGAACGAGTCATGTCATCGGTTGATTAGTCAACGGGTGGGACAGCTCAAGGTTCCTGACGTGTGACAGTGGAGATTGATTGGATGACTAAAGATGTTGTTGCGTTGGATAGAGGCAGCTTCTATGGACTTTCTCTTCTTCCAGTGGGTTCCCTGTTGTAGAATTGTGGAATTTTTTGTTTGTGATGTTTTCTGGTTTTGTTTTCGTTATTAAACTTCTTATATTTTGTTCACAACGGAAGGCAGTTTTGATGTTGTATTTTGTTGCAATTCTTTTGATCTTTTCCGAAACTCCTGCAACATAGGCAATGGTCATTAGTTGGTTAGTTTGTACTGTACTCTAATTTATGTGCTACTTGGTATTGAGAGTAATAACATCTTCAATCAGTCTCGTTGAATAACCGTTCTGATCTTCTTTAGTTCGTTCAACTTCATCGTTAAGTAGAACTTGGTTGCTACTGACAGTTTTTGCTCTTTTGTACAGTGATTGGATTATTCCTCGTTTGCGTGTTGCTCTGTTGTTGGACGATGCATTTAGGTACTGGCCTGTATGTGAGTTTTGTGTACACGACATTGAGGAATGGTATTACCTGGTTTTTCTCTTTCTCTATTCCAGCTGTCTGCATATTATGAAGGTGTCGTCGTCAAGAACAAGAGACGTTGGTGGACAACACCTTCATAATATGCAACAAAGACTGGGAACAGGGGAATAAAATACAGTCACGCGCCAGGAACCTTATCCTGCCCCGCCCGTCAATGTTCTCCACACCGATGACGTATATATGCGGGTAGCTTCGATCGTAGACCTCAGTTTTCACTTGAAAGTGATACTTCCTAGCCGAAACGTCCTATTGGAATCTCGAAACGCCAGTATCGACCACATTGTTTTTATTCTATAGGGGAATACAAATAAAATATACTTTTTACACAAATTCTGGATTCCTTCTGCGTAGTTTTTTGCTGGGTCGAAATTGCTGACGTATCGCCAATCATCCTGTTGGTTTCTTCGAGGCTTGACTGAATCTGGCTCGCATTTTACTCTGTACCTACTTATATATTGTTTGAGGGGGCGCTAATGAGGGGTATAAACACCGTCTCGGATGATTCCCAAATTGGTGACAAGTAGAGACATGAGTCGCGGTTAAGATTGTTAGGTTGTTTATAGATTTCTATAGACTCTCGGATTTTTCGACTCAGCAAAAACCGACGCAGGAGGAATCCAGAAGTTTTGTAAAAAGTATTACAGTAGCCTGTGGAAGTTTCTTTCAAAAATTAACAAATAAAAGATATTAGAGATTATCTGATGTGTTATGTACTTTTACTCGCCATTGCAAAACAGTCAAATAAATAAATAAATATTTATTTGCAGATGGTGCGCAACTTCAGAAAGCCGTTGATAGTCTTCACCCCCAAAACGCTGCTAAGGTCGCCGCTGTGCGTCTCTAGTTACCAGGATATGATCAAGGGAACGCATTTCAAACCAGTATTAGGTAGGAAGGGTCTTAATGTTACTAATTTGTTAATAAAAAATACACAGGTTTTGATATCCCTAACTGAAATTAACTTAAAACCTAACGAATATTGTTAAAATTAATTTAAATTTATTGTAAATAACGTTCTAGTACCGTTTAACATTTCATTGCATTTAGTAAAATAAACTCCCTTCGAATTGTGAATCATTCATTAATTCTCCTCTGATCGTGTTGTTATAGAGAGTGTGTTATAAGCTAGGGACTTCACTTTCTTTGTTTCTATGATAGAAAATTTTACATGCCTGCCAACATATCTAATAAAAACGCTTGTTGAAATGCCGTCGTGAATTTTAGGGGATACTTCATGCGAACCATCTAGCGCGAGACGGTTATTGATCACTTCCGGAAAACATTATTACAATTTACTGGAAGCAAAACAGTCGTTGGAATGCGAAACTGTTGCCATCATCAGATTGGAGTCGTATTGCCCTTTTCCTACAGCAGAACTTTTGCAAGAGGTTCTGAAGTACAACCATTTAAAAGGTAATTTCCATCAACATTTTGGAAAATCGTGCAAAACGCACCACCACCGATGCAGGTTATTAAGGGTTTGTTGGTTTTTAACTGCGGCACTTCTTTTTTTATGTCCATATCGTTTACTTAACCTCTAGTACCTATTTTTTATGTGTAAAATGAAGTTGCTTATTTGTAAACATATAACAAATACCCCGAATAGTAATCGTATATTAACCGACCGTCCCATGTTCAAAAAAACAAACAAAACAACAAAACAAAAACCTATATCTGATATATGCCGTATCTAACAAAATATTCTAATTTCTTTAAAGGACGCTACCCAGCAATTATCAGCCAAAAATTATAAAATATTCTAAATCCATGAAATTTGTATTGCCAAAAAGTCTCTACTAATTAGCACACTAAATGCAGCAGACAATTTAAGTGAAAAACGACAGAACATACTGTAAACAATCAGTGAGGCATCACGAAAAGGGAGGATCAATGTCGCTCGCTTTTAAGGTTATATGTTTGAGTCATTTTTCATTATTTAGAAAAATATAAACGATAACAGATATACTAAAAAAGCGACAAATTTAAAGAAACCGTATTCGCCAAAAATGTTAATAGTTTAGCCGTTATTACAAATCTTAGTATTAGTATGCGCGATCAAAATATCTGTGTTCACAAAGCCTTGTGTTTGGTGTATTTTTATATAATTACGGTAAACAATTGCTGTGTTCCGAAGTCTACGAGGAATGATAAGAATGAAGCTAGAAGTGGAAATTACTAAAATTACAAGTTCCGATGAAACAGCCATAAAATTTGCAATCAAAATAACTAATATAAATCTGCTTAACAAAAAACACTGAAGTGACTAGACTAGTGCCTGAACACTGAAAATTTGATCCCTCGCACAAAATCATGATTCTTTTTAAAAAAAGTTAAATAAAACCACCTCTAAATTTCTAGAACTTTTTTACATATATGTACTATATTTTAAACTTTAAAATAATATAAATTAATGATTAAAACATATATTTTTATCTTTATATTTGATATTATGAACTCCATTCAATCAAATATTTGTGTCCCTTAACGTGATGATTCATACTTTAGCGTTGTGCAACCTTGTGACATAGGATGTATTGGTTCCATATAGCTATATAATTTTCGTATATGCGTGTACGCCCACTAACCTGCACTTGCCCCATTTTCTTTCGAAATAGCGATTTCCTCACACTTAACTCGTTTTCCCAGAATAATTAACGTAATCTTGGCATATATTGAGAAAATACTGCCCTAAAAATGCTGCACCGACTTATTGATCATCTGCCAGCGGCCATGTTGGTTGTTGAATGTCTCAAGGTCATTGGTTTAAAACGAGACTGCGCATGTTAAATTAACCTTCTCAAAGTTTTTTTCATAGTTGCTTCATAAGTTCCTGTATTATCGGCTTACGCAAGATCTTTACATCTCTATGCTCGGTTCAAGTAGTCACTTTCGAGAGAGCTGTGAATTAAACTCTCATGTCAGTTTCCAAGCATTTTTTAAAAATTTTCTGGGGCCTTATTTTTTTAATCTTTAGGTATGTGCTTTTTTTAAATGTATTAATATTAATAATATATTAATATTGATGTAATATTTTTGTATATTAAACAATATTTCACAATAGAATTAAGACTAATATATAGCTAGCATAATTAGGCAGGCTATCGCTTTGACATGCATTCTTTATCACTAATATTCCTTATATACAAGCAATCCTAAATTGTACTCATGAAAACAATGATACTGAGCCAAATATGACTCTTCACATCATTATCATGTAGTTTTATTTCACCATCGAGGACGATTTGCCAACCATGTTTGGTATATCTAGTTATTCTGTACTAGATCTATGCAAGTCACGGTGACCTGGCCTGCAATATATTTGACTTCTTTGTGTTTACCATAATTATTCCTTTAGATATACTCTGGTGCCAAGAGGAACCACAAAACATGGGCGCATGGAGTTTTGTGAAAAGACGGTTCGAGAACTTGATCGGCAAACCGGTAAGATTTCCAGTGGTGTATCTTTTATATAATAAGATATACAAACTTTGTATGACAAAAGTGCTACTCGGATTCAGATTATACCACCACAAGAAAGATAGTCCGTTGGTATTTTTTTTACTTATTTTGAAACTGCAACTTTTAATCTTAAATTTATTATAAAAATTCGTTTTTTCGTTTTTTACAAATAAAAATAATTGAGGTATACTCATAATGGTGTTAAAAAGTGATTGTAGAAGTGAATTAGGAATCGAGAAAATATGAAAACACGCAAAATTTCTATTATTTTTTTACATAATATGGTACAGGGTGTAAAATTAGATCTTGTTACTTCTCTATAACTCGATTTTTTATTGGAGATCCCGAAACTTATATTCTGGCGAATAAAAAAGGAAAAACGTATTCTACATTTATTTCGATAAAGCACATCTTTTTGAAGATGTTTCCATTGTAATATTTTATTCCAAGTCAAATCGCATCAAACTCAAAAAATTGGAAATTCGAACACCATTTTTTGTGGAAGTGACTGTGTTAAAATGGAAAATTTCTCGAAAACGAACCGTTTTATTGAAATAAACACAGTGTGCCTTTCTATATATATTTTGCTTTAAAAATTCGTGGTGGACGGTATGTTACAGGGGAACTACGGTGTTCTTATTTACGAAACGAGGACGAAATATAATCTTCCAAAAAAGGTAAAAGAACTAACTACTAACAAACAAGTTGTGAGATTTAATAGCGACATTACCATCCTCGACATATGTCATAAAACCCCCGAATCCAAGTTTTCGTGTCGACATTTCATAGAAAGCATGAGCAATAATCAAATAAAAATGTCGTAAACTTAACATTAACACCCTGTATCTCACTGATGAGCGACATTTGGCTGGGATAAATTTAGCAGAATACCAATTTTCTGTAAATTGTATTTCCTAACAAGCAATTAAGCACAAAAAATTACGCTTTTCTCAAGAGTTAGGAACGGATTTTTTTCTACGAGCGTGCGGAAAACACCCAAAAAAATTGAAGAAAATAAACAATAAAATGAACTCTGCACTACAACGGAAATAATGAAAAAAAAACTGAATTTTCCAGATTCATTTCATTTTGTTTCTTTTCCTGACACATTTTTTGTGCAAAACGCAAAAACAACATTTCGCTTCAAATTGTTTATAAAAATTTTACAACAAAACATAAGTACAGACTATCTTTCTTATGATGAGAAAATTGGTAGCAAAGTATTTTTAAAGAAAACTCATCAATACGATTTATAATTTCAAGATTAAATTTTGCGGAAGACCAGCATCAGCAACACCAGCGGTTGGGTTCGCACAAGTCCATCTGGAACAGGCCAACGACATATTAACCAAACCATTCCAAATGTGAACAACTATTATAAATTTGTGATATACATTGTTCTTTAACTATAGATAATATATATTTGTGTTCTCTCTTACATTTTACTTGTATTGATTAAGAAGTATTCTACAAATTCCAATTCAGCTCCGCTCTAATAAGCTACTAGCCAGATCGTGTCAAACTAATCTGAAAATTATTATAGAGAAGAGCAGATGTAAGGTGTTTTAATTCTGGGTTCAGTGACTCGGGCTGAGATAGTTTTAGGGCTCTGCAAACAAAAGAGTTGGTAACCGATAATTTTTGGGCCGGATGGTGAAGTGACAATGCATTAAGGTATCGTGCGTAGGTTTTCTGTAAACAGAATGACCCAATGTTAGGTCTGATTTTCTATAGAAGTCTGCAAGCAACCAAATAATCTTAACCGCGACTCGGGTCTTTACGTTTCACCAATATAGGAATCAGTCATCTGAAACAATGTTAAGCTCCATCAATACAAACAATATATAAGCAGGTACAGAGTAGAATGCCAGTTTCAGTGAAGCTCTGAAGAAGTCAACAGGATGATTGGCGAAGCGTCGGCAAGCTCGATTAATAAGCAACCGACACAGGAAGCAGCCAGAAGATTTATAAATAGTGCCCTGTATATTTCTTAGATATATCTGGATGTCGAAAGATGTTACAAAAAAATGGGCTATGGTTATTGGAATATAACTTGACACGGAAACATTAATCAATATTTTGAAAATTTATCGTGAACTGCTGAACTGCAGTGAAAAAGTTAATAATTTTCGCATTTTTACAGTACCAGTCTTCCTTGATATTCCATTCATTGCAAGTTTGATCGGACAGTGACAATTGCAAAAAATACTTTTACCCGAAAGTCAATAGTTGTATAAAAGTACAATTGGTGTTTGCTTATCAGGTGGCAGTATTATTTTGTTGTTAAAAGCTTACATTTTACTCAATCGTACAAAAATTGTTGTATACAAGCTGCGCAAAATGTAGACTAGTTGCAGTACGCACCGTTACATGCTTCGTGCACATTAGTTGCACAAATAACTATTGTTTCTTCAAAACTATTATAGTATGATGTGTCTCAAACTATATCGACTTGGATTTTGACGGAACTTACCCCAAAAAGTAATTACCTTCATACCTATCGTTACTGGGTAAACCCAACAACCAATGATTTATTCATATCTAAGCATAAGACAGGGGCGATTCAGGTAGATGTCGACCAAGTGTGGGCTGATATCAGTGGCTGTGCAATAATAGTATATTATGCAACAAGTTTGATGAGTGACATGAATTGTTTTGACCAGAGCGGAGCGTAGCGAAAACTTCCAACGGAAATATCTACCTTTGTTTGATCTTCTTATGTGCACTGAGTTGATAAATATTTCCATCCGTTTGTAATTTTTGTATATATTTAGTATATAGGTATTAGGTATACGACACAGCCTGTTAATTTTTCAGTTAACCTTCCACAGGCTACAGTAATACTTTTTACAAAACTTGAGTCGAACTTGCTAACGTTTCGCCAAATCATTCTGTTGACCTCTTCAGAGCTTAACTGAAACTGTTTCTAGCAGTAGTGACACAGCCTGTTGTTATTTACCAAGACTATATGTGGTGTTCCACAAGGAAATTCGTCGATCTGTTATGCGCAAACTATAAGTAGAAAAAAATTGAAAATTTCAATTTAAACTAATGTTGATAAGGGCAATCCGTCTAAATTTTTTTCAAAATGGCGACATGTCCTGATATACCGGAAGTGAGTACATAAATTTCGCCTATTTAATATAAGTAAGTTGACGTCCACTTTCGGAATATCCGGATGTGCCGCCATCTTGAAAATATTTTAGCCGAATTGCCCCTACCAACATTAGTTTAATTACAATTTTCCAAAATGTCATAGTTTTCCCATACCAGATCGACGAAGTTACCAGTGGAACACCCTGTAGATTTCCGTGCAACTTATGGCGTGAAAAATATTTTCAATCTGTTCGTCACAAAATAGTTGTTATTTAATAAAACACGACTCGCTTACCGGAAACTATTAGCACCGCGTATGTAGATAGACGCAATACCTTTAACAACAAATTCGTTTCAAGGATGTCTATATATAATAATTTTAACCCGACGTCAGTAATTTTTGCGTTTTCAGTGTGGCGAAAAACGAAATAAAACACGGTTATTTGACAAAAGTGAAACGTGTTTATTATCGACAATATATGTGCCGGTAATAAAAAAGAAATGATATGGTCCGATCGGTTTTGCGAAATAGTTGCGAATGGCGAAGAGTAGAGTAACGTTTTAACGCAATCGGCGAACGCCATGAACAAAAGCATCGAGATTTTGTTGGAAGAGCGGACCGAGCTTGGGGTAAGAATTTCAAATTTAAAACGTCATACGAAACATAGAATAAAAGACCATTGTTAGCGACATGTTTAAATGCAAATTAGTAATGACTTTAGACTGTGTAATTGTATGAAATTAATTTTATTCTCTAACAGTATTTATGATACAGGGTGGTTCGTAATGAATGTTCCAAAACGCAATTCTAATTTAAACTCGTAAAAATATTGATGAGACCAAATATGACTTAGTAAAATGTAGCTCATTTGGGTGGGTGTTAAAGTCAAGTTCTCGAAATTGTTATTTATCTATGGCCCAAACAAATATTGACATGGCAACTGGGAATCGGAAATTTTTCGTCAAGTAAAAATTGTATACTACGTTCATTTCGATAAAACGCACCGTTATATATTTGCATTTTGATACCCCCCACCTCCACAAAAAATATTGATTTTTATGATCGTGTTTGATCGATTCTCCGCCACATCACAAATTTTTATGCAGCAATTGATATGTATCTCACGCATGAGTGACATTTTACCAAGGTACAACATTTGGCTCAATATCATTATTTTCACGACTATAGCTACAAATTATTTTGAAGAATACAATTTGGCCGTTATGGGAAGCAACTGCTTAGAGGAAAAATATATGTAATTCATATATTACATTTACTGAGCGAATTTTATTTTGTTTCTCTATAGTATATGTAGTACCCCTGTTGTCGGTTTTCCACTAAACGGAAAGTGAGGTTTATGTCTTGTTTGTGTTTTATGGAACACAAAAGAACAAAAAGAGAACTGAAACAAACTCTTTTTTCCACCACGTAAGACTACGTTTTTGTTGTTTTGTTTGTTTTGTTTTCGATCCTTTTCCACTGATTGGTGCGATGAAGTATAAAGACTTTTTTTCAATAATCAAGTTTAGAGAAAAATATTTATTCCTAGCTATGGCTGGTTTACACTGCGGTCCATCAATTTTGAGTTTGATTTTGGCAACGCACTTTTTAAAAACATAAAATTTCGAAATTTGGAACTTTATTGTGTTGCGTAGAGAGATTTGTGGCATAAAGAGCGCAGATTAATTGTTAAAAGCGCACAGATAATAAAATCTTATCGTTGAAAGCGTCGATTCAGCAGCCTGCATGTGAAGGGATCATCATTGCAGATTCAAATTACAAGGATCCAGGATCCGGGAACTAGCAATTTTAGGGAAGAATACTAATAGGTTCTGGAAGTTCTTGGCGTTGACATTCTTGAACTTTTCTCGGTGGAATTTGGCAGGATTTGCAGGAAAACTTATACAGAACAAATTATATCGTTAAAATAACAATGATGTACATTAACAATGTCCAGATTTATTGGGATCTGTTGCTTTAATGTAAAACGGCTATGTGCTATTTTCTTTTCTTCCAGCCATTTAAATTTAAATTTTCCACTAGTTCCACTCCTTCGACAAATCACCAACTAAATACGTGAGACGTATTAGACAACGACAATTTATAGATCAGGAAAAAAACAGGTCGCGACAGACATTTCTTTTGTAAAAGGCGCGTACGGTGGCTTTACAATATTTTGTAATTGCTACAAAAAAAACGGGAAATACATATTCTTATGAAAATTAAAAAAAAAATACATAAAAAAAAATCAATGGTTTTTGATTTTTTTTAAATCAAAGTTTGTCCAACACTGGTCCGGACGTAGCTCGATCTAATGGAATCCGTTCGCTAAATCGATGGTCGAAAAATATTGACATTTACCTAGTTTAGTTAGGTAGGAAGGAAGTATTTGTCACTTATAGTCCGACCGTTTAGTTTCCTATAGTCTACTACTAGCCGCCACTATCTTTTACCAGAAGCGTCCAATTTTTTAGAGACTATCCAGATATCCAGATTGGGTTAGACCAAGGTGAAATTGAATCTTGTATAATGCCTTGTTCAAGCATTTTATTAACTTGCGATTTAATTTCAACTTTATGTTTTTGCGGGTATCGGTATGTCTTTGTGAAAATGGGACTATTGTCGGTTACGTTTATTTTATGTCGAATTTGTTTTATAAAAGTTAAAGGAAAGAATTGCACAATAAAATATATCACGACAATTAATGGGCTAATTTTCGAATGGCTTTATGTTCTTGACTTTTAGTAAATTATTATGAAAGTTTCATTGGTTAATATTTAAAATTTCAATAACGCGAGTGTTGGTTATTGTAGTAACTAACCATGTTTATATTTAACTGGAATTTCGACCAGACTCTTGTTTTATCCTAGGTAGAATAATAATAACATAATGTATTTGATGCTTAATGCTCCTTTCAGTTTTATATTAACATCTAATATTGCTTTTAACTGATGCAGTAATGTAAACCTATTATTCCTTCAAACTTATCGCTAAAATCAAAAATCTAGAATTTATGATGTTTTTGAGTTTTTAAAATATTAGAAATGTAATCAAAATTACTTGATTATGATGAGTAATCATATGAACTGTTTCAATCTAAAAGTCTTCACTAAAATTATAGTTTTTGTAAAATTTTTGAACAATTTTTGCAAACAATAAAATTTTTGTATTCCCCTAACAGTTCAGCGTTTATTTCCGGAATAAATAGTTGCGGCAAATTAGCTGCTATATTAATATTTACTATGTTACTTGATTCTGCATGGGATTCAAGATAAAATTTTCATTTCCAGTGAAAGACGAATCTTGAGTTTCTAATATGTGACTATTGTAAGGTTTATTTTTAGTTGGGTGAAGTTCATAGCACTCATATGGTATTTTATCGTAATGCTTTGTATTTAAATAATGTTTGCAATTATATGGATCAGTATTATTTTCACAATAAATATTTTCGGTGGTTGTTTGATTTGGGTTTGCCTCAAAATACTGATCAGAGGAGTTTGGAAGTTCCTGCCGAAGTGTCCATGGGTTCATCTAGACAGCTTTGCCGAGAACAATTTTAATTGGTATTAAAGTTTAAAATAAATTGTTTCATTGTTTAGAAATTGATTAGGGACGAATTTTTTGCGATTAAAATTTAGAAGTTGATTTTTTATGATTTGACGTTGCCTTTGAGAAACGTACGAGTGTTTCTGAAATGGAACATTAATATTTCGTCTTAATGGACAACTCCCATCACGATTATGCCATAAAGGGTCGATTTAATTGACAGTTGGGAACAGTTGGTTTAACAGGAAATTTTCTTTTTCGATAACGGGACCCATTATCACTTCTAAATTCAGGGGATTACGTATCTTAACATTATTTTGAAGTTGGCCAGTTAATCCTCGAATAAAATTTGTTGTTCGTAATTTCGCAAAGTTCTTATACGTTCCAAATTTAATGCAATTAATTTATAAGAAATTAAAGATCGTGCGCCTTTCCATTGTGTCTGTTTCATTTTTTATAGGTGTTAAATCTATTAGACCTTGTACCAAAAAATCCAAATTTCTTTGATCACCAAAACTTAAATGTAATGCGTTTCTTACATCCATCGTTCCAGGTATTTACTTCGTTTATTCTAGAACCTATTAAACTGAATGCCCTACCTGACCAATTATTGAATGTACAATAGCGATAAACATTTTTAATTAAACCTGCACAATTATTTAGAAAGATAGTCAATGTATAACGATTTCCATCATATACTGATATAGTATCAATATAGAATTGATAGTTTACGCCTATGGGGTTGCTTGCGGCAGCGCTTTGGCTATTCATATTAGGAATGTTTTTGATGTGACACCTGTTATCGAGATTGATCAAGTTAAATTTATTTTTCTACTCCCGTCTGTAAAATACCTAATTACACTAGCGTGCGGGAAGCGTCACTTTACCACATCAGTTTCATTTCAAACGGATCGGAGCCACTTCGGACATTTCCGGGATTTTAGCGCACGGGTTTGGGAGCATTCAGATATTTTCGGAGATATTTTTTGACGGCCATGTCAGTGAATGTATTCCTGTTGTATTGCGAAAATGTACCCAAAAAGTATAGAAAAAGTATAGTATGCAACACGTTCGGTAAACTTTTCAGTCACCCATTTATTAAACACTCGCTCCGCTCGCGCCAAATAAACTCGTGAGTCAAATGCCGTTTACCGAACTTGTTGCATATACTATTATATATTATTATAGTGTCATTAATTCCAGAAACGCTTAAAATTTAGTAAAAATGTTACGAGAGCAATATGTACAATAACAACGAAAATAATGAAAATTATAATAATAAATAAATAATGAATATAATAATGAAAAATCATTTACGTTAAAATTAAAATGATCTTCATTCTACCCTCGTGGAAAGTGCGCAGTACTGTGAGGGGGTATTTTGCTCACATCCTCAAATCTGAGGCTCCCACTGCTCTGCAACTGCACAATGTGTGCCCTACCGTTTCCTCAACCTCTGGGTTTTCGGATGAAGATCTTCTAGTCTTCCAAAAAGTACAACCTCTTACACCTTTGGCTAAAACAGTTGGCGAAACAGCTAAACTGAACCATTCGATATCCACATTCAACTCATAAAAATATGCGTATTAATCCTTATTACCCAAAATATTTGCATAAACTTGCCTTTAGATCCCATATTGGACGTCAAAACAAATCTTGTTTTGCCAAAATGTAATATGACAGCCTGATGATGTGTATAATGCTCAAAATATAAAGTGGAATTTTCAAGGAGTATCAGTCTTTTATGAAACTCGCTATACATCCCTAGGAGAATTTTCAGAT